TCAGGGTCCCCTCACCTGAGCGCCCCGCGGGGGGTGCTGTCCTGGTGTTGCTTCAGCCCCCTGCTTGGGGGTGGCACCCCGTGTTGGGTCCAGGCTCCACCAAGGCAGGGGCCAGAGAAGCTGGTCCCCAGACCTGCGGGGGGGGGACGGCCCCCTCGTGCCTTCAGAGTCCAGACCCCCAGGAGGCCTTGGAGCCAGCGCAGACATCCTGCACTTGGGGTGCAGTGCTCCCGCGCTGGCCGCCTCCTTGTGCTCACCTTACGTTTGCGGGGGGGCAGCCTCACCCCAGGCTGGCTGCCCCTCACGCCCCGGCGGCCTCTGGGGCCTGGAGAGGGCTTTGTGCGGGAGGAGCTCGGAGATCGGGACCGTCCCTGAGGTTGGGGTTTGCCCCCGCCGGGCCTGCACCAAGCCTCAGGCGCGGTGGCCCTGGGTTAGGCGGGGGCAAGCTGCTTCCCTGGAAACCGGCAGACCTCTTCCGCCCTCACCCCCTTCCTCTCCGAACCCCTTTCCCCGGGGAGTGGGAGCTACTCAGGCCAGGTTAGGCTGGGGGAGCGGCTGCAGGGAGGCCGTGGCCTGTGGCCTTCAGCTGTCCCCGAGGGCTCCTGCCTTCACCTGTTGCACAGACTGGGGGCTCCCCTCTTCCCGGCACCCCTTCCGTGGGGAAGTGGAGCTGGGGAGGCCAGGCGCCAGGACAAGGGCCTGGGGTGACCCGCCTCTGCGGCCTGGGCCTGAGGTGGCTGGGAGACCGGGCCTAGCCTGCCGCCCCTTGGGGCCTGCCACCAGCTGAGGCCCCGGTGGGGGCCACGGGAAGCCTCTTCCCAGCACCCAGCCCTGGGGGGAGGCAGCTGGGAGGGGACCACTAGAGGAGGTCTGGCTGCCCCGTGTCCCTGAGGGTCAGGTCTGTCCCTGAGGGTCAGGTCGAGCTGAGTCTGGGCTGCTGGGGGGAGGGGGACATGGCCCAGTGCCCTTGGGCCGTCCCCTTGCTGCCTGGGGCCAGCTCCGGCTTCTCTACTTCTCTCTGGAGTCCAGCGAAGCGGCTGGGTACCTGCGAGCCCTCGCCGGCCCTGCCCTTCCGGTCAGCCCCGCTGCGGCGGGACGCTTGGGCAGCGGGCAGGGCTCCGCCCGCGGGGCTGCACCTAGGGTTTCCTGCCTTTGTTTGTGGGGACCCGTAGGGCCGTGTCGAGCCCACCTGCCAGGGGTCCTCCTGGACCATGGCATGGGCCAGTGACCAGGTCGCGCTGGACACCGTGCGGCCCTCTGCCCCAGGGGCCCTGGCGGGGCCCCGCTTTCCTGCACTGGCCTTAACCACGACGGCGCGTGAGCAGTCTGGCTCCTAAAACCAGACCTGGAGTTTCTCTGCTTCTGCAGCCAGAGCCCAGCCCGCGCCCGGCCGGCCTCTGCCTCTCGGGCGCCCAAGCTCAGGTCCAGCCCCGCCTGCGCCACGGCGTGTGGGGCGTGGCGCTGACGGACCCTCTCAAAGGGGCGTCGGCGCCCACAGCTGGCCAGGTGGTTTCTGGGTTCCTCGCGTTCCCGCTACTCTGGCTCCGGCTTCCCTGTGTGGGTCCTCTGCGGGCGATCCTGCGCCTTCCGGCCACCCCGTGCTGGACCCGGCTCCCGGGCCCTCCCGCTCGCCGCCAAGCCAGAGCCCCTGCTGGAGCCTCGGGGCTCACAGGGCTGGGCCTCCCCTCCCCTGGGGAGGCCGCAGGTGGTGGAAGAGGCAATAAAGCCAGAGTGGCCAGCTGGCTGGGGGAGGCTGCACCCGTCCCCGCTTGGTGGCCAGGAGGGCCCTGGGCCGCCCGCTCGCTCCTGGAGAGAAGCCCTGTGCTCCGAGGCGACAGGCCCAGGGCCCCTGAGGGTGCGCGGCAGCGCCCAGGCCTGCGGGCGGCCTGTGTGCCCAGCCACGGGCTGCTCACCACGCGCTTCTCTCCACAGGTCGGCGAGACTCCTGGCCATGTCTAAGGTAAGCAGCGCCCCGCCGGGCCTGCCCATCCTCTCTCTGCCCTGGAGACTGTGCAGCTGGTGCCAGGGCCAGGGCCAGGCGGGTGGGGTCCTGGGCCTGCTGGCCTCTCGCCGGCCTCGGCCAGGCGCAGGAAGGGTGGGCAAGGCCCGGGGAGGGTCCCTGGGCCGGACCACACACGGCCTCCCTTTCCTTCCCCCTGGGCGTCCGGGCACTGTCCCCTCTGACCCGCGGCCAGCTGGGCTGGGGCGGCCATGACCGCGGGCTGCGTTGACCCTCTGCAGCCTGTTCCTCGCCCCACGGGCAGGCAGGCGGGCTCCCGCGGGTAGAGCACCACCCCTGGGACGCGCCCACACTTGTTCCTGCAGCCAGGGCTGTAGTTGGGGTGTCAGCCCGTGCCGAGCTGCCTGCGTCTCTGTGGGCCTGGCTGCTGGGGCCCTTCCGGGCCGCCGCTCCGGCTGAAGCTCCCAGTGCCTGGGCGCCGCCTGCGGTGTGGTGCGGCCGCCCACCAGCCTGCAGGTGGCCCCTGGCAGGCGGGCGCTGCTGGGTGGGGCGGGCCCGGCCCCAGGCCTGGGAGGCTGACGGCGTCTGGGCGGACAGCAGGACCGTTCACTTGCTCGTTTGCTTGTTCTCGATGAAATGTCCTCCAGCAGCAGCCAGCCCAGTTTATAAACCCGGAAACCCCTGGCTATGTCGGCTTCGCGAACCTTCCCAATCAAGTTCACCGGAAGTCCGTGAAGAAAGGCTTCGAGTTCACCCTGATGGTGGTCGGTAAGCCGCGGCGGGTGCCGGGGTGCCGGGGCGCGGGAGGGCCCGTTTGCTGTCAGAGCCGCGTCGTCTGGGGCTTGAAGGGGAAGATTCCCGAGGAGACGTCGCGGGAGAGGAAATCCCATTTTCCCGTCCCCGCGATACTCTCAGTAGGAGTCACTGCTCGCGGGCCGGCGCGGCCCGGGGACCTCAGTCTGCCGGGAGCCACGTGGCCGGGC